TTTATAATTCTGAATCCTCATAGGAGTACTCCTGACATGTATGTCTATTTTACCCATCCACTGAGGAAGTGTATCCATTGCTGGTGTGTTTTACTTCTCTTGACAGTGAATAGATTCAGTGAAACATGAAATGTGAGATAGTCATGGGCGTTTGCCTCATCCCTTGTCATTGCTGTTTCGTATCAAACCCTGTATGTGGTTCCTGGGTTTGAATCTTCCTGGGTCCTGCTCCTACTCTGAAGTCCTGAATTTGTCCTTTAGGGTATAGCATGTAGGATGTGCAGCACGAATTCTAATTGGTCTTAAAAATAAAAATTCAGATCCAGTGATGGGGTCAAAGCTGAAGGATCAGAGAAGCAGAGCAGCTAGCCACTAGAGTCTTACCTCTACCAATGTTCAGACTGGAAAGAGGCAATCCTGTCCCTATCAGTCCTCAGACTGCATCTGTCTGTAGGAATCCTCCCAAAATAAATAGGTTTATTACAGAGTACCATAATAATATGTTGAGTTGTTTGCTGTTAACACAATGTGGTTTTAGTTACATTTCTGTTTCTTGCTTTTGTTAGTTTTAGTTTTTTGAAACAGGGCTTTTTTTTTTTTTTTTTTTTTTTTTTTTTTGGGTAGGATTTGTTGTTCTGGAACAAGTTCTGTGGACCAGGCTAGTCTCCAATTTGGTGATCTTCCTCCTCTGTCTCAGGATGAAGGGATTAAACAGGCCTCCATATTGTTGGAAGTTTTCTTGTCCTTCCAGGTCCCATTGTTTAAATGAATTTCTCTTTTTAAAGGTGTATTTATTTTTGTATATGAAGACTTACAACACTAGTTCCAATAGGTCTTAATAATAAAAGTCCAGAGTCGGGTATTAGGGGGTGAAAGCTGAAAGATCAGAGAAGCAGTAAACCATAGACCTCTTACATTTATGAAATCCTCAGACTGAAAAGAGAGTGAGCTCCTGTCTCCTCTTTCTCCTCTCTCTACCTAGCCATATCATTTCCTGTCTGTCTGTATAGACCTCCAGACTTCTATGATTAACTAGTATCTAGCTCCACCCTCTCATCTTCAGTCAAACTTTCTCATTTTATAAACAAGATATTGGCCGTGCGTTGGTGGCACACGCCAAAAAAAAAAAAAAAAAGTCAATTTTGTTAATGCAAGTAAGAATAGAAAGTGAATTAGGTACAAATTTTTGGACTCACCAAGACAGGATAGATATGGCGTATTTTCTCTGTATTTCTCAATTGTTAAAAGACTAGACATTGTTGATATATTTATTGCATATATGGTGTATAATTATTGTACTTATTGTATATAGTTTTTTTATATTAGTTATAAACTTTTCTATTTTTAGACCAAAAAAAGGAAAATGTGGTGATACCTTGTTTTTCTTTTTCTTGTTTTTTGTTTTGTGTTTTTGTTTTTCAAGACAGGGTTTCTCTGTGTAGCTTTGGAGCTTGTCCTGGCACTCACTCTGGAGACCAGGCTGGCCTCGAACTCACAGAGATCTGCCTGCCTCTGCCTCCCGAGTGCTGGGATTAAAGGCGTGCGCCACCAACGCCCAGCAACAAAATTGACTTTTTATGTTTCTCAAATGTATGCACTTTACCTTTCTTAGGCCTCAGGCAAATTTCCTGTCAATATTGGATCAATTTTCTGATTACCTTGTGCTAGAGGGCTTGGCAGAGCCATATGGGATTCGATGTGTTATGTGTGTGTATTTCCTGTTCCTGTTTAATTCTTGTAACTGAATAAATGCTAAAGTCAGTTCTCTATCATGTTATATACACTCGGTGCATACAGTGAATCAGTGGCTATGTTGAAGGTTCTGTCAAATTCATGAATACCATGAGAATAGCATAGAATTCTGGCTCTGGGACAGAATTATTAGGGCTTTGAGGCACTTGACTTAAATTTTCTGATCATTAACCCGCCTTTCCTGATTTATTTGTATTGGTGTAGAATATAGGGCCTCCAGTGGGGCTTTGGGGGTGCACGCCTTTAATCCCAGCACTTGGGAGGCAGAAGCAGGAGGATCTCTGTGAGTTCAAGGCCAGCCTGGTCTACAAGAGCTAGTTCCAGGGCCGCCTCCAAAAGCTATATATATATATATAAATATCCTCCAGATGTTGGTGTTCCCATATAATCCCATAATGGGTCTTTTTTTTTTTTTTCCACCACTCCCCAGCAGGGTAGGGCCCTCAACGGGGGTTCTGCAAAGTCCAAGTCTTCCTATGCTGGTCCTGGGCCCTTACACATGTGTCCAGGGCCAGAGTGTATTCCTTCATGTGGGATGGGCCCTCAAAGTCCCTTCTTGCACCAGGGAAAAATACTAATCCACTACCAGAGGCTCCCTGGAGTGCAGAGGCCTCCTTATTGACATCCATGTTCAGGGGTCTGGAACAGTCTTGTACAGGCCTCCTGGACTGCATCTGGGGTCGATGTGCTCTCCCTTGTTCAGGTCACCTGTTCCTGTGGAGATCTCCCTGGTTCCTGATCCCTTCTCCGGCCTACAGTGGCTCCCTCTGCATAATGGGTCTTTTTATAAATTAAATTTTCTTGCTTTTGGAATATTTGCTGTTAATCTCCCAAAAGATTACTGCAAGCTTTTTGCCAGGATTCCCTTTCTGCCTATAATTTGTCAAGTTGATGATTAGTAAGTCATACTACAATTTCTGCAGGGTCTAATCCTGCTAATTGTCAACCAACTAAGAGGTATTTTCCATGTAAATTTTCAAGTTTTCCCTGTGTTTATGTGGTCAAAAGATGCATTCTAAGATACTGTCTTCCCTCTACATTAATATACCTGCAGGAGGATGCCTGGAGGGTAAAGTAACCAAATGCAATCAAGTTTTGGATCCAAAGGATCCACATGTGCAGATTTTCCACCAGAGGTGATTCTCTCAGCGTCAGCTGATGATTCCCATGGCCTATTTAAGTCCTATTTAAGTTTTGTTTAAATTAATCAGCTGATCAGGTTTCACCCTAATAATGTGCCTTACATAGCAAGCATTTCCTAGCAATCTGTGAAAGTCATTAAGAGTCAGCAATTGATCTCTCTGAATTTGCACTCTTCAGGTCTGGTTTTCTGTAGAACTATTTTATAACCTTAATAATTATGGAATCTCCCCTTTGTATTTTTTTCAGGAGCAATTTGTAATCAAAGCAAATTGCCAACAAGGCAATTTTTCTTTACCTCTTATAATACGATTCTGAAATTGGTTCTCCGTTAAAGTCCTCTTTCTGGATCTGAATATCTCCATGATCTGTTTTATTAAATTTTTGTAAAACTTGTATCTTAACGCTCATAATAAATAATTTTAAGTGATAAAAATGATAAAACTGCTTATGATTCACATTACATATGTCCCATCTAAATGAGTTGTTATCTCATTTAATTATTCCATTTTCAAACCATCCAGCATATTATCATACAGAGGCCTAAACCTCTCCATTGCAAGAGTGTTTCTTTTTCTTTCCTTTCTTTTTTTTTTTTTTTTTTTTTTTTTTTTTTTTGGTTTTTCGAGACAGGGTTTCTCTGTGGCTTCAGAGGCTACAACATGAAAAACCCCAAACTTACTCAGAGGGCTTGGGAAAAAAAGGAAAGAAAACCTAGCCAGACAGGGTGTCTCTCTGGTGGGAGCCTTGTGTGCAGGCTCATGCTGTGCCGGTGGTCGCAATTTCACAGGCAAGTGGCTTTATCATAAATTTGTGTCTCTTAAGTTGAGCACCAATATGAAAAATGAGTCCTAATAGGTCTTAGTCATAAAAGCCTGGAGTCAGATATTAGGAGGTGGAAGCAGAAAAATCAGAAGCAGACAGCCAATAGAGCTCTTTCTGAATGAAATTCTCAGAGAGTGAGCTCCTCTGTCCTCCCAGCTTATATTCCTCCCTCTGCCCAACAGGGTTTCTCTGTGGCTTTGGAGGCTGTTCTGGAACTAGCTCTTATAGACCAGGCTGGTCTCCAACTCACAGAGATCCACCTTTCTCTGCCTCCCTAGTGCTGGTATTAAAGGCGTGCACCACCAACGCCTGGCGTTCTAAGGGAATCTTTTTGTGTTAGAATATGAATAAGTAAAAGGCGAAAGATTTATACCATCCAAAGAGAAACCAGAGTTTGTGCTGGAGAGATGGCTCAGTAGTTAGGAGCACTCACTGCTCTTCTAGACGACCTGGGTTCAATTCCCAACTCCTAAATGGCAGCTCACAGTAGTCTGTAGCTCCAGTTCCAGGGACTTGACATGGTCACACAGACATACATGCACCTGAAATATGGTAAGTTATTTTTAAAAAGAATATGAATAAGCTATCACCACAAGGACTCTCTTTGCATCTATGCCTGCCTGAAAGTGTATGTCTCTATTGTGGACTGTTTTCAGGGCTCCAGGTAGTTGTTGGGAATTGAGCTGAGGACTTCTGGAAGAATACGAATGCTATTAAACACTGAGCCTTCTCTTCAGTCTTTCTATGTATTTCTTGTATTAGGCTTTTCATCTGGCTGTCATAAATGACCCAGAAAATTGACTGTAGGCAGAAGGAGTTTATTTCGTGTCACAATTGAAGGGTGTGTATACTTTACAAATGCAGAACTGGGGAGCTGCTTGTCACAGTGCACACTATCAGGAAGAGAGTAATGTATATCTGTCTTATCTTCGACTAGAGTAAGTCCTATAGAGTTCACAAATGTTGCCTCTCAAGTTGGAGTGTGTATTGCTTTGAATATGTTCCAGCTCTATGCCTGTCTGCTTCCCATCATGAAAATCATTGACTAACCCTCCAAAAGTGTAAGTGTTGTCCCCCAAGATGCTTTCTTTTATAATAGTTGCTTGGTCATGATGTTTCCTGAGGGCAGTTGAGTAGTAATCAAGATAGCATCCCAGATATTCTTCAGTTATTCCTATTTACATCAGAATTTAGTGGTGTTTTCAGGAAACTATATGCTAGATTATTCTCTATTCTGTCAGTGTGTCAGTTAAATGTAACCTTTCTAATATATGTCCCCTTAGGAGAAAGTAGCCTTTGAGGATGTGGCTGTGAACTTCACCTGAGGAGAGTGGACTTTGTTGAATTCAAGTCAAAAGAAGCTCTACAGAGATGTGATGAAGGAGACATTTTTGAACCTGATCTCCATAGGTAAAATCCCAACATGTTCCCATGGCTCAGTGAGTCAGAGAACATCCATGTCTTGTGTACGTGTGTACTGTTGGTATTTGGATTCTTGAAGGTAATATGTGGTAAATATAGTGGGATAACCCATGTCAAAAAGTGAGGGCATAATACTTTTTATGTTGAATATGAATATGTCATACTGTTTTCTCTGGATTTTCTTCTAGAGAAAGCAAATAGAAGAAAATAGTGGAGAGGACTGCAAAGACCTCAGCAGAAACACACGGTAATTGATATTCAAAAGAAAGGAATTGCTCTCACATATTTGCAAATCTTTGAACAATTGCAAGCCTACCAAAATCTCTAAACAAAATTAACTGAATAATGATCTCTATGCAAATTTCTGCAGTAGAGCATTGAATTGTGCCATTCAATATTTGAGTGTCTCGTGTTTGTAATGCATTAAGAACACATGTGTCATGTAATATTAGCCTCTGAAAGAGCTTTACCAGTGGTTTATTACACACAAACTTCAAAAGTATTTGCCCTCTTTCTATACATTACTTTGAGGTTTTGTTTTGTTTTGTTTTTTGTTTTTGTTTTTGTTTTTTTGCTTTCATTTGCTATGACCAAAAAAAACAAAACAAAAAACAAGTCTGGGGTGGAGCTCACTTTTCCTTACACATCCTTGTTTCATTCCCATCATAAAGGGAAGTCAGGGCAGGAATTCAAGCCGGTCAAGAACCTGTAAGCAGGAACTGAAGCAGAGGTGATGGAGAATTGCTGTTTTCCAGGGTGCTTCTCATCCCTTATTGAGATAACCGCCTTATACAGCCCTTGCCCACCTGTCTATGTGGGTACTACCCACAGTGGGCTGATCAAGAATATGCCCTCATAGACAAGCCTAAATGTCCACCTGATAAAGCCATTGACTCCTTTCTGGTTCTCTCTTCTCAGATGTGTCACCTTAACCAAAATAACCAGCAGGTACCTTTCCTATACAGCTCATGCCCTCTTGCCCATGGCCACAATGCACATCATAGTGTTAGCAACCTTCATCAATAAGGAATGTAAAATGCTCCCTCAGACTCATTTACAAGCCAATCTGAGTCATTTTCTGTTTTGAGGGAACCCAATCTGTGATGTCCCTAGATGTGTGTAGTTGATAACTAAGGAACCAACACTCACTTAGAATTCTGAATGTCAAAATGCTACAGTGTTTCCCCACTTTATTTGATTGTAAGGATTGTCTACTGACACCAGAACTTTTGCCTTCATGTTCTATCCTTTTCCATATTGTTTTGTACCTGTATAAGTGTGTCTTATGTTTGTGTACAACCCTAGTGTCAAAATGTTTTCTAAAAGGCAGAAGAAGGCAATAGTCCCTACATACCATGAATAACAGGAACTGGTGTTTTCACACGAGTGCTGGTCATCAAAATCTGGACTACCAAAGACCAAAATATTTTTAACCCCCAAATCTGTGACACAACTCCTTCATAATTCTAATAGAAGTAAAGACCACAATCTATTTCTTTACATATGACAGGGTCTTTACATGTGGTGC